AAATATAAAGATTAAAATTTTTTTTTTTTTTTTTTTTTTGTTAAACACACAATTGGTGTTAATTTAGTTTTTGTTTTTTTTTTGTTTTTTTGTCCACGGGCCAAAATTCACTTTTCTGAGCTTTTTCTGTGTTTAGATTTTTTGCAGTTCTGAAGTGTCATATCAGTGTATCAGTTACAGTTCATCTTATGAGGAACTTATGAGGTTTAGGAACTTACTGTTAGATGTACATTTATTTTACCTTACACTTCCATTAAATAATAATAAGAATAATGCAAGATATTACAAGATGATAATCAGAAATATCAGCATATTAGAATGATTTCTGAAGAATCACGTGACACTGAAGACTGGAGTAATGATGTTTTGAATGATTGTTTGTGTAAATAATTTGCAATTAAACAATCAAGCCAGGGAACGAAATGCACGGCTCGACACACTTTAGGCCACATGTGATCGTCTTTACACAATTAAATCAGTGTGAGGAAATTTCACCTGCCTTAAAATATACAGGAAAAACCAGAGGGACATTTTGAAAGGTTGTCAAGATGGGATCAGACTACGGTGTGTTTTGTATAAAATACCAAATTGGTACAGATGGATAAATCTTGAATTTTTTTTGGCTAGATTTTTATTAAATACCATTGTGCTTGTGCCTCTTAAATATTTCTTCACACTTTCAGAGTTGACTGTTCAGACTTCAGTACGGCCACCTTTTCTCATCTCTCTTTCAGGAACTGCTATTCGTGCCACGGCCTTGTGGTCAACAACAGTTTGCGATTGTTTCAGGACTTATCTGCAGAATAAATGCTGGTCAAACATGATCAAACTTTAGATTATTCAAGCTCCAGTTTGTGTATTTCATCTGTTTGTTTTGTGCAACATACTTGAAAATGTTAACTACGGAGATATTTTGAGGAAACGTTCACACAAAAATGACGATTCTGTCATTTTAAGAAACCTTTTATTACATGGGATGCAAAAGGAGATATTAGGCTGTTAGGGACTGAGGACGTTATTAAACATTCACTTTCATTTTTCCATTCAGTAAAAGTGAAGGAGACTTTCTGCCCTTTTGTTCCACAGGAGAAAAATTCATACAGGTTTGAACAACATGAGGGTGAGTGAGATGTGTCTTATTTGACACATGTTTTGATTTTGGTTGTTAGATTGGATCTTAAAGTATATTACCTTTTACAAGCTCAAGTTTTCTTTCTAAAAATGTTAAAACTTAAACATTGGGCTATATCTGTACAATTAACTATATGAAGCAATTAAAGGAATAGGTCTCCCAAAAATAAAAATATGCTGGAAATATGCTCCCAAAAATAAAAATGTACTTTACCCGCAGGCCATCCAAGATGTGGATGAGTTTGTTTCTTCATCAAAACAGTTTTGGAGTAATTTAGCATTGCATCACTTGCTCACAAATGGATCCTCTGCAGTGAATGGGTGCCGTCAGAATGAGAGTCCAAACAGCTGATAAAAACAAGTAATTCACACGACTCCAGTCCATCAGATAATGTCTTGTGAAGTGAAAAACTGTTTTTAATAAGCAGATCCATCATTAAGGTCTTTTAACTTTGAACCATTGTTTCTGGCCAAACTGAGTACATAATCCAGAATAACTTTTCTTCCTGTGGAAAAGTCTATCTCTGTTTAGTCTATCTTCGTCCTCTCATATTAATCGCTGTTTTGGACTGTTTGTGCATGTAAAGCAGGCTTGACCTGTGCATATTTCTTTCCTGATTCAGATTGAGAGGACTTTTTCATTGGGGAAAGAAATACAGTATAATGGATAGAGGACTTGTATTTTAGCTGAAAGCAACAGTTTGAAGTTAAAAACATCTTTAAACATGTAGCTTTTCGATTCACAAGTCATTAATTGATGGACTGGAGTCGTGTGAATTACTTGTGGATTATTGTGATGTTTTTATCAGCTGTTTGGACCCTCATTCTGACGGCACCCATTCACTGCAGAGGATCCATTGGTGAGCAAGTGATATTATGCTAAATTTCTCCAAATCTGTTCTGATGAAGAAACAAACTCTATCTTGGTTGGATGGAGTTTAAGTAAATTAGTAAAAAAAAGTTCTAAATATTACAGGGTCTGGCTTTCAGAACAGAATGATCTCTTAATGGTGTGTGAGAGTAATTAAAAGAGCACATTACAGGTCTTTATTTAAACATGTCTTTATTTTCATAATGTCTGGCAACTGCAGTCTGAAGACATTCTGACAACGACAAATCTTTTGAGTACATCTTTCAATCACAAGATGGGATATATTGCCTGCAGATACAGTATGTAATATGTATTTAAAAAGAGTCCTGGACAAGGTCAAGGCATTTTTACTGATGCAAATTTTGCACTTTGTCCTTCAATGAGGTACAAATACAAAAACTAAATAAGGCTTTTATTTTCACATCTCTTCATCATCTATAATACTTTTTTTTTTTAGAGGTGCAAATTTTGATCCAGCAAAACATACCTCAGTGAATCACTCCAAAACGCCCACAATATTGGTCCATGAAGCATTTTAACAGGAGTGCAGAGTTAAGTACAGGAAACACAAGACCCTGACCACTTTCACAAACCTACTCCGTTTACATGTATTGAAGTACAATCACTATCATTTGTGTATGTTGTCCTATCTCTGAACACAGAAACATTACCAAAATCTACCACATATCAGGCAAAGCACTGATGATGGCCACCAAACAGCTTTTTTTTAAACAGCCAACTGATGAATATCTGAAGGGTGTCCCAAACAAATTACTTTGCAAACCACTGGTATATGCACTGCCTTTCAAAAGCGTGAGGTTGGTAAGGTTTTTTAAGTCTCTTCTGCTCTCCAAGGCTGCATTTATTTGATCAAAAATACACTAAAAACAGTAATATTATGAAATATTATTAGGATTTAAAATAACTTCTTTCTATTTTAATGTAATTTAAAATTGTATTAATTCCTGTGATGCAAAGCTGAATTTTCAGCATCATTACTCCAGTCGTCAGTGTCACGAAATTCTAATATACTGATTTGCTGCTCAAGAAACATTTCTTATTAATATCAATGTTGAAAGCAGTTGTGCTGCTTAATATTTTTTCAGAATTCTTTTGATGAATAGAAAGTTCAAAAGAACAGCACTGATTTGAAATAGAAATCTTTTGTAACATTACCAATGTCTTTACTGTCACTTTTGATCAATTTAATGTCTCCATGCTGATAAAAATGACACATTTGACTTTCTTACTAGCAATTTCTAATGTTGAAAACATACCAAGTGGTGTCATTGTCCGAGTTTGTAAATGTATTCATAAAGCATTTATTTTAAATGCCAGTTTATATGTTTGCATAACCTCAATTTTAAAATGCCTACTGATTGTGGCTCTGATAAAATAACATTTGTTTGAAATCTTTTTAGTGGGATTCATTTAATTTTTATATTCTGATACGGTCAGAAGTATTCACGCATTGTAAGCTACAAAAATCTGACTTTATGTCGTAACACGTTTAGTGGCTTCACTAAATCAAACACTGAATCGACATCTTTTCTACACACTTTTGATACATAAGACACCCTTAAATCTACAGCCAAACTCTTACCCTCTTTTAGGAAGACCACCTCTCGTAAGCTTTTAGTTGGAGAACATTTAAATGTGTCAAAAATGTTTAGGTGATTCCATGTTTCAGATATTATTGGAAAACTGAATATATAAGGTATTGTTTGTGATGCATGGCACTTCATAGCTCTCTAAATATAACACATGCAACATAACCTTTTTCATTTTTAAACAACACTGATAACCCTCAAACGGTTTCATTCCAGCTGATAAATTAACACGTAATATTCCGAACGAAAGTGAAATCACAATCAACATATTCTTGTACAGAAGTTCACAGAACGGTGCTACCTATGAACATTGTCACACCACTTCAGTTTGAAGACCAGTGCCAGCCATCAACACTGACTCTGACACACCAATGGCATCGCATGTGGACTTTTGCTAGAGGCACCGTTTCAGTAAATTGGCACCTGGTAGGTTGGGGCGTTGGAGTCCAGGTTTTCGGTGAAGGGTGGGCTCTGGTATGTGTCGTTGGGCTCGGTGCTCGTGCCGGTGGGGGAGGGCTGGACAGGTGGCTTTCCATCCATGTGCTCTGTGGTGAAGAGGCTCATGTCGGTCCCTAGCATGTACTTCTGCACCGCTCTCACTGTCAAACCAGCCTGAAATACAGAGAGGAAGCAAATGACAGTCACACGCATTAGTATCGAACTCTCATTAAAAATAACTACGCTCAACTCTGACCACTTGTACTGAAGAAACCGAACGTTTTTTTTTTTTAAACCTGAAGGTACTGCAGTCTTATTGGTTCCAGATAATTCTATTTCTTGGCATTTAGTTCTGTCATATGGCTAAATTTGTATCCTTAGCAACATGCTGAAACATTATCACAAAACTTTCAAAAAATTATATAATTTGAAGGACTTTCTGAAGAAAATATGAGTTAAGTATCATTACAATTTTTGCGGTTTGTAAGATATTTAAAAATAACTCAAGAATAAAATTGATCAAATGTGACAGTAAAGACTTTTATAATGTTGCAAAATATTTTTATTTCAAATAAACGCTGTTCTATTAGTAGACTTAAAATAGGCTTTTCAACTTAAAATACCTGTTTTCTGTTTTAATATTCAAATGTAATTTATTCCTGTGATGAAAAGCTGAATTATCAGCATCATTACTCCAGTCCTCAGTGTCACATGATCCTTCAGAAATCATTCTCATATGCTGATTTGCTGCTTAAGAAACATTTATTACTATTATTATTATTATTATTATAAGTGTTAAAAACAGCTGTGCTGCTTAATATTTTTGTGGAAATATTTTTTTAGGATTCTTTGATGAACAGAAAGCTCAAAAGAACAGCATTTATTTGAAATAGAAATCTTTTGTAACATCATAAATGTCTTTACTGTCACATTACTGTCATTTAATAGGTCCTTGCCGAATAAATGTAAAAATATACAAATCCATTTTTTTTTAATCTTACCCCAAACCTTTAAATGGTAGTGTATCACGGTTTACACAAAGACATTATAAATTAATAAATAATTCTAAATGGTAGTGCTTGTGTGTATTTCTAAACATGAATCATTGATGTAACAATTGCTAAAGATCAAGACAAGTCATACATTTCACTCTTGTTCAGTAACTGTAAGAAATAGCATCAGTTTCGTTCACATCAGGACATGCCACCGAACACTATTCTCATCCTCTTTCACGACAGCAAGGGAGAAGGAAGTAATTCTATTATATGTTCCCACATCCCCTGAGGGCTGAAACCAGTATGTAGAGCAAGCTAATGTCAATGAGATAGTTCATGATATAACAACTGAAATGGACTGTGTTCTGCATATCCTGCCATTTCAGCTTTAGATTTGAAAAGGAATAAAATAAAAATGTCAATAAAAAGTGTTTTCATTTCCGTGTACAGATAGTTATCCTCATTTACCCAGGTGAAGATGGAGAAGAAGGAGAAGGTAATGGCAGCTCTGGCAGCATCCGCTCCCTGATTTAAGGGCAGCTCATCTGGAGTGGTGCGCTGCCATTGGTTGGCCAAGAAGCAGAAACAAACAAACCACAAAAACGCCCAGAAACCTATCACGCATGCACAAAACACAACAATAAGAATATATTATAGCAATAATTTCAATAAAGTTTATTATACTGCCCCCATGTTGTTTACATAAATAAATACAAAAAACATTGTAAGGCAATACAGTACTGAATCATTGCCAGACCCCTTGAACAACTCACAGCTTAAAAATAGCCGTCACAGAGAGAGTCTCAGTCTGTTTTGGCATGCTCTTATTGTTTACCTGAAAATCCAATGTCCAGCATCACTGCCTTCTTCCTGTCTTTAATACTGCTGATTTGTTGGAACTTCATGTCAAGGATAATGAAGAAAATGCATGCTAGAAATGCTATGAGCCCAATGGTGGTTCCGTAGTTGCAGGCATTGTTGTTCTTGTTGAAAACGCAATAGAGCCTCTCACTGCCATGGTTGACGTAGCCTTCATTTATTATGGATCCGAACACTACCATTGAGAAGATCTGCAAGGGAAAAGATACACCAGTTTTATTGATGTTCTTTTTTTCATGCTAACACTGTTAAATAATTAAATACCATTACAATAATTACTATTATTCTATGTTCAGGCAGTTGACATGAAGTGACCGAAGCATCTATCTAGTAAAATCTATGTATCTATTTTTTGGTGTTGACTGTAATAAATTAATATTTCGATTACAAAATGAAAGAGAAATATGAACTTACACAGACGTAAGATCCGCTGTATGACCACAACAATGCTATTCAATAAACATAATGTATTCTAAATAGACAACAACTCTTCTAAATCAACATTTTCCAAATGTTGTTCTGTACAGTACACTCACAGAAAAAAAGCTGTCATTGGGGCTGTACCTTTTCAAAAGGTACTAATATGTACTTTTAATGTACTGGTACTTTTACATTAGGCCTACTAATTTAAAGTATAAATATGTTTGTATTTTATTTTTGAGAAGATTTTGATGCCTATTTTACAAGAAACAAAAGCCTTTGACTGAAAGAGAATTGTATTGCACAAAGCTATGCTCCACCTGATGTGTTTGTCTGTCGCAAATAACATCAAATGGAAGTAACAGTACATGCGCGTATAGTAAGTAATGCATCAACCAATCAGAATCGAGGCGCCGGTCATATAGCAGCAGTGGCTGCGGCTCAAAACCTAGTGAGCTGCCTCAGTAGACAGCATTTCTGAGCAACATACAGAATGATGCTCAAACACATGCGCTGCTCAAAATGAGGCAGCTGACTATGCTTTGAGACACACTATAATGATGTTCTTACTGAAAAACCTTATTGCATAATAGAGAAACGTTCATCCATGACATTAGATGAACTCGTTTTGCTTTAATATAGGGAAATAGCCTCATATCTTAAACATTATTTCTTGTTTTGAAGTCAAGCCTAGTGATAGACCTATGGATAAAAAATAATACATAGTAATAGGCTATAATGGTAAACGAATTCATCCTGCCATAATAAACCAAACAACAAAAAGATTCAAGCATGTATGTTTTTATGCTTTTATGTTTTCATGCTAAAAGGAATCACATGAGTAACCTCGTCACCAGAGGCACATAGGCTTCATGACATCAATACGTCAACATTTTCAATATAAACGAAAATAATCTTCGATTTTACAAATAAACGCACATCTATACGAGCGTCAGCGACCTCATTTAATTATTAACTGAGCACGTGAGGAAAATGTTATGATTATGATACGTTCTGGGTTATTCTCACAGACCACATTAGTCTCTTCTAGGGCAGATATGATTATTTGTAGGTAAATAAATGTCTTACCCATGATAATATTCTAAGGATGGTCTGCGGCTGTTGGATAAAGGCAATAGGGTCGAACGCAGCACCGGCTCTCCCAGCACCAAATGCACCCACTCCGTCCATTTTCCTCCTACTGTTATTCAGGCTCTGGGCTGTGGGTCGAGGTAGGCGCACACACACACACACACACACACACACCCAGCACTGCCTGTCAGAGGCGTGCGCGCTCTCTCTGTGATTCTGTGCATTACAAAGTCTCAACAACAACAACATCTACCGACGACATCTCGTCCTCAGCTGGGAGACCGCTAACTTCATAGAGCAGGACTTCAACTTCGCCAACAAATGGAACATTTTGGGGGAGCATGCAGAATATTTTGTCAAGGAAAGGGTACTATTTGAAGAGAACAGTTCCATAACCAAACCATTCTCATATAAAAATGACAGTTAACCAAAATCTATGACTTTCTTTGTGAAGAACATTAGGGTCCAAACAACAAACAGTGTCATTCAGGTTTGGAACGACATTGTTTTGACTATCACAACATACTTCACATGAATGAGTGTAATTCCTAAACAATCATGCAGTCTGGCTTTATCATTCTCATTATAGTCTTAACACAAATGATAATGCATAGATAAACATTTATTTTTCATGATAAGGGAAGCAATGTGAGAAAACTAAGCTATAGCATTCGGGACATAATACTGTAGCCTATCCTTGCAAGACAAATGAACATGCAAATGTCTTGCCTAAGAAGCTTATCTAGATGCAACTGAATATGACCAAAAATGTATTATTCTTACCCTTTTTGAATTTGAGTAATTTATTAAGACCTCTAAACCATTGGTATTCAACTAGGAAACCACATAGCACACTTTCACGGAGACCACAAGATGGCTTAAAAGTATTTAAAATAACACAAACAACATTACTTTCCACTGGAAAAGGTAGATAGAGGACTATTTTTTCCCGGTTTGACATGAATGTCTTGATGAATTTGTTTATTATTATAAACACACCTCTTTTTAGTACACAAGACATTAATTGAAAGTCTGGAGTGGTGTGGATTACTGTGGTGTTTTTATCAGCTGTTTGGACTCTCATTCTGACGGCACCCATTCACTGCAGAGGATCTACTGGTGAGCAACTGATATAAATATATGAATTTCTCTAAATCTTTTCTAATGAAGAAACAAACTCATGTACATTTTGGATAGCATGATGGTAAATGAATTTTCAGCAATCTTTTCATTCTTAAACTATTCCTTTAATTGCCACTCCACGTTTCTGTCAATAAAATATTTCTAAATGAGCAGCCATCTCATTCTAGCAGAAATATCTTGGGGAATATTCAGTTATTGTTTTACAATGAGGGATCTTGAAGTTAAAAATACTGAGAACCACTGCTCTAAACAAAGTATTTGTGTTTCCAGCTGTCGCACAGATTTTTACAAAGCTCATCCAGTTGCCTCTGGGCTGTTCACATCCACAGAGAGCTCAATAATTACAAAATAATATGGGACATAATGCCATACACTTGTAGACAGCAATGCTCTTGATTAAAAGCACAATACAGAAAACTATATATATGAATAAATCACTCTTATCAATTAGTGCAAAGTCAACATGTATCATGTTTATGCATGACTCCTGAATGGTACTTGTAACGAAAAGGACAGGTCCAGAGAATCAGTGTTTGTGGCTGCATATTGCTCATGTTCATGATTGTGTTGGAGGTTTTCAGTCACAAGATCCATCTTTCCAGCCATCTCGCCACCGCTCATCCACCTTGCTGCAGTCAAACTCTGGCTTGCCTAATCGGATGTTGATGTCATTATGGAGGCGACACATCCACTGTGAGAGGTTGTGCCGACTGCTAGCATCTGGTTGATTCGTTTTCAATCTGATAAGAGACAAGATCATTGAAACATATGCAACCAAACACAAAGATTAACACTGCAATGCTTCTGCTGAAATGCTAAAGGACAAAGATAAAAACCTCAACAATAAATGATGACAACCTTGATCTCAGGTCCTCTGCACATTCATCACATGGGAAAACCTTTGAGAAGAGATTGATGAACTGTGTCATCTCCCCCTGTTGTTCTGTGGTCGGTGCGTCTGGATAATATGCAGTCATAGTGTGAAGAATAGACCATGAGCTCCTGCCCAGTTCCTCTCTGTCCAGAGGGCATTCAACAGGCTTAGCCTCCTCCACCGCCCTGCTCTCCTGTTCAAAATATCACATGACTGTTTACTGTCAAAGCACAACATTATTGTGTAAGAGCCATTTACATTTACACATTTATATTTATACATAAGGTATACATTTAAATCAGACTATGTGTTTTCTAAGAATCAAACCTATGACTCTGGGTGGATGCAATGCTCTGGCAGCTGAGCTATAGCTCTTGAAAAGTAACCATAACCATGATTGGCATCTCTGTTTTAAACATAATATTTTGCAAACTATTTCAAACTATTCTTCTTAACAGAAATTAGGAGTACTGATTGATATTAATTAACCACAATTGATTTTGTGATGTGTGTACATCCCTAAATGAAAACAATAAATATGTTTTCAGTTTTCATCTTGATTTTGTATTTGTTTAGCATTTGAATTTATATAAAAGCTTAGTTATTTTATTATTCTATTTATATTTTATTACATTATACACTTACTATAATTATTAATAATAAAAATAATATTATTGATAATGTATTAATAATGTATTAAGTTAATTAATTTAAATTCACCCTGAGGCCCCCTTGGAAGTATGCTGTGGGCCCTGGATGAGAACCACTGTAACAAACTATGACATTTTATTATAGTAACCATTATTTCACAATTTGAGTTGAATTATTGAAATAAATACATTTTCCACGACATTCTAATTCATTGAAATGCACCTGTATATATATATATATATATATATGTTGCTAAAAATAACATTATTTTGTGTAGTTGGTGTAATGAAATGTGTTTATGTGGTTTAAGGTTCAAAAAACACATTATTTTCCACATACTGTACATTATTGTTTCTCCTCTATGCCCCGCCTTTCTGAAATGCGTCGATTTTTACAAAGCTCATCGGTCTGAAAAGCGTTACACCTTCTTTCTTTGCGTGAACATTTGGGCGGCGTTATGCAAATCTTCCCACATAGTGACGTAGGTATGTGGGGGCGTGTTAGAACGAGCCGTTTTAGGTAGGTGTGGCTGACTCTTAACTTTTATAAAGAGTATCTCTTTGGATTTGAGACTTTAGTCTTTGCAACTTTACAGATCTTCTTTATGCACCAAGAGCTTATAACACTCTAAAGAGAAAGGAAAAATTAAATCGCATCATATGACCCCTTTAAATGACATTTTGAAATGTCAAAAATCCAAACCTTTGCAGATACACTTTTCAAAACAAGTTCAGCAACGATGTGTTTATTTCATGCAGTCTAATTGTGTTATTATCATAGATATTTGACTTCTCCTGACTCTGGGATGTCGTAAATTTAAAATTATAGTTTGACTGTCAGGTCATAGTCTGTTCACCTGCACTGAAGCGGAGGACGTCTGTTTCTGCAACTTCATCCATGATTTAAAATCCATACACGCTCGGCACGGTTTCTTTTTCGGTTCTCCGGTAGTGGTCTGATCCTTACTCGTGCTTTCCTCGGGCGGTCTGCCAGCCACGGGGAACGGGAAGCCCTCCATACCCGCGGTGTTATGCGTCGAAGACGGCGACCCGGCAGGAGCTGCCATGTTTAAAATCGCACGTTGTGTTATGTACTACCAGGGTTGCCAGATCTCCGCTAAAAAAATCTGCATTATCAAAATACGCTTGAAAACAAACTTCTTCTTACTCGTTTTTATTGGCGGATCGCAGTCACAAATTGAGCATTACCGCCATCTACTAAGGTAATGGATCAGAGACTTAAATCCCCTTTCCCCAGTTGCTGCAGCTCCTCCATCTACAGCCCAAGTCCCTCCCAGCCCAGAGAAGAGGAATAGCAATAATAATAATAATTATTATTATTATTTATATTCTATGAATGAACTGAGTTCTTTTTAGAAATTTTATTAACAGACTATCGCCTCCTGGATTCAAAATCTCTTTTAAATCAAAATCTCTGCTCACCGTTCTTCTGGAGGCCATCGATTAGTTTACTTCTTTTCTCCGTATATCTATTACACTAAATAAGTACATGTTTCTCTGACTCTGCACCAGTCACACATTCCTGTTGGATGTTTTCCTATTATTTGCAATGTTGAAATAAGTCCTGTATGTCTTGAAAGAACACATCCTTTCTTCTCCCTCTTGAATTCCTTCTTCTACCTACCATTGGTTGTATTGAATATAGATGCCTGCCCTTTTGCTCATTATCCCAATAAATTTGCCCATTTTTATTTATCACCTTTTTAATTATTGACTTAAGTTCAGCTTTAATGTACTGACATTGCATATCTATATTTTCCTTTGCCGTTACTTGTTTTGCTAATTGGTCCGCTTCCTGACTCCCTGCCACTCCTGTATGTGCCGGAACCCACAAGAACTGAACTATCTTATTTGTCTGCTGCAACATATAACAACTGAAGGATCTCCAAGACAATATCTTGTCTAGTTTCAGACTGTTGAGCATCCAAGCATAATAAGGCTGAACTTGAATGAGTGTTTTGTTTATCCCCATTTCATATATTTTATTCATTGCTATCCAAATTGCTAGCAACTCTCCTGTAAACACTGATACATGATTTGATATTCTTTAGACACTTTCAACCTTGGGATGATGCACGCTACTCCCACCTGACCATTCTGTGGATCCTTAGATGCATCTGTAAAAACTTGTACAAACTGTTCATAATTAGTTCCAATATTCTTTTGTCAATTCTGCCTCTAGTAACTCCTGTCCTTTATCTTGTCTTGTTGCCAATAAGAATAAGTCAATTTGTGGTTGTGGTAAAATCCATAAAGTTGTCGTTGGTAAAATTACTGTTGGAATAACTCTGTGCTCATTTAGTTCCATCTCCTGCACTAAATCCGCAATGATCCAACCAAAACTAACTTTACTTTTCCCATGCTCCCAACATGCTTCAAGTAGTCCTTTTACTGGGTGATTATCCTTTTGGTCTTTTAAGCTTTCCCATATGTCAATAACAGTGGTTTCCGTCTTAAGTGAACTGGCATTTCCCCCATCTCCACCTGTAACGCTGGAACTGGGGAGGAAGGATAAGCTCCACAACAAATTTTCAAAGCTTGTGATTGAATTCTTTCTAATTTTCCTAACTGTGACTTAGCTGCTGATCCATATACCATACATCCATAGTATAGTATTGCTCTAATCATTGTTGAATAAATGTTTTTTAATGCCAGTCTGTTGGCTCCCCACTCACGTCCTGAAATACACCTTATTACATTCAAAATCTTTTTACATTTTTCCTCCATCTTATTTATATGTGTATTCCATGTAACTTTTGCATCAAACCACATACATAAAAATCTTATCCCTTTAACTTGTTCTAACTCTTTATTATATAATTTCAGCTTTAAATCTATACTTCTCCTCTTATTTGTAAAGAAAATATATTTGGTTTTATCTACAGAAAATGTAAAACCCCATTTATAAGGCCATTTCTCAACATTCATTAAAGCTGATTGCATTTTATTAACAATGTACTCGACATTCCTACCTCTAAGCCACAAAACTCCGGCATCTGCAAAAAACAAAGATGTATTAATATTTCCCTCTATTATTGCAAATACATTATTAATCATAATTATAAATAACAAAGGATTTATGACACTTCCTTGTGGAGTACCATTCTCAATAATTCCCTTCCTTGAAATATAATCCCCAACCTTTACTTCCATATTTCTTTCAATTAAAAATTCTTTAATCCAGTTATATATTCTTCCACCTATTCCAATTTGATCTAATTTAATTAACAAACCCTCTTTCCATAACATATCATAAGCTTTCTCAACATCAAAGAAAACTGCTACTATTGTTTCTTTATTGATCAAAGCTTTCCTAATATCTGATTCTAAATTAATAATTGAATCCATTGTTCCTCTTCCACATCTAAAACCACTTTGATATGGAGAGAAAAAAAATATTTTTCTCCATATTATACATCAATCAGTCTCATTTTTTCCATTAATTTACATAATTGTGAAGTTAAAGCTATTGACCTGTAGTTTAGAGGATTACTTGGATCTTTACCTTGGTTTCTTTATAGGGATAATTAACTCCTCTTTCCAACCCTGGGGTAAAACCCCTTCCTCCCATACCCTGTTATAAAATTCCTGAATTATTCTCAATGATTCATCACTTAACTTTTTTAACATAACATAACATAGCTAATTCCGTCTTGTCCAGGAGTTGAAGCCTTAGTGTTTTTTAATGCTCGCTTTAGTTCTGGAAATGAGAACGGAACATCTAATGGGCTATTTGTAGTTCTCTCCTAATTCCACTCATCTTTTTAATCATACTCCACACTTCCTCAACTGGAGTACTTTTCCCAATTTCTTCACAAAATAGTCTCCAATACTCTTTCTTCACTTCCCTTATTATTTTCCTAGTTTCTGCCTGAGTTTTCTTGTATATTATCATGTTTGGCAGTTGTGAGTTCTCTTCAGCATTTTGAATGCCTTCCTTTTCCTTCTAACTGCTATTGTACACTTCTCATTCCACCATAGAACTAATTTTCCCACTCTCTTTCCTGTACTTTTTGGAAAGAATTCACTTGCACCATTATGAATTGCTATGAACTACTTATAGGAAAATGATCAATCCCAATTGTAAAATTCTTTAAAACCTCCCAATTTATAATTCCACCCAACGTATTTGAAACAATTGTTAGGTCTATTGCTGATTCCCTACCTATATTTACATTTGACATCTAAACGAGTGTAACTTCCAACATTTATGCAAACCAAGTTTTTCTTTTCTATCACCTCTTCAATGATTAGACCATTTGTTTCTGTTGATAATCCACCCCATAAAGTATTATGGGCATTAATATCACCGCACCATATGACTCTTTCTCCACTTAATCATTTTATTTCTTCCATACTGTTCTGTGTCAGTCTTTTACATGGATTATAAAAGTTAATTACCGGTATGACAAAATTCTTCATTCCAAACCATACTTCTACAACTACATACTCGATAGTTACCCCTTTCTCCAAAACTCTACAAGGCATTCTTTCTTTTATAAACGTGACACACACCTTGTTTTAGATTTACACATTGACGCAGTATGCCCATACCTCTAGCAATTGTAACACCTCAACGGAGGAGCTATACACTCCCTAACCGGGTAGCTGACAAAACCCATCTTAATCCGATCTGACAATTATTTTCCTTCAAACTATCCACTCTCCTCCCTTCTCTATTCATCTGCAAACAGACTGCATCAATGACCTTTCCTCCATCTAGATTATTTTTTAATTCCTCCATACTAACGCCTACTGGAAATCCATTTATCACACCATACACCCATGACTTCTGTCCAACAATCTTAAAGCTCATCACCGTCTGCTTTCCCACTGTTTTTAGTTGTATAGCTTTGTTTTTCTGCTCTTCATTCACTTTTTGAGCAATTTTGCCGGGCATCTTTTTTGGAGCAATGTTGCTTGGGCACTTTGTCATTGAGGATGGGTAACAGATTTCAATCTGGATACTTTAGATTGGTCGTGGGCCTTGTGTCTCACCTGGTTACCCGTTGAGGGCAACATTGCCCGAAGTTGCTTGGCAGCATTGCTCAAAAAGTTGCCCTGTGTATCATCAGCCTTAGAGTCTCTGATCCATTCCCAATTCGATTTCCTCGAGATCTATTCTTCGTATTTTTTGGATTGTTTGAATTATGAACATGATCCCCACCGCCTCTCTCGCCACCATAAACCTTCCTGTTTTCATCCAATCAAAACTTGAAAACAAACTAGTTCAAATGTCAAAACTTAAAACATGCCACTCCCATACCTAAAATACATATTTTACCGTGTTCATTGAACACATTTTACAACGTACAACGAACAATTTTACAAAGTCTGTTTTCATACATGAAACATTAATATTAACAGCTGGTAAATAAAATTCTTTGGTGGGGTGGTAATCTTTTATTTCTTAACTAGGCCTACATGAAAATAACTATTTATAACTATTTATATTTTTAACTATTTACAGTTTTAAGATCTTTTTCTGATGCCACTCTGCTCCTTGATCTTTGTCATATATTTCTGTACACAGTCTCCTTGTCAGTCATATGAATTGTATAGAGTTAAATATTTTAATAGAAGCAAGTTTGAGATCTCCCTATTTTGCTGTAAAACCAGGGACTTGGCAACCCTGTGTATGTTTCCGATGTGAATGAATCGTTGTTGAACCGGATCTTCTGAATGAGCGTGCTAGCTTAAGCAATTCACACAACTGATCTGAATTATTCACAAACAGCGATATTTGCCTCACGTGGCTTTTATTAGAACGACCAATGGATAAAATGACAACGTAAATTATGGGCTGAGGTAAAAGAATAATTAAAACGATTCTTTGAAACGACTGTTCGATTGAATCGATTCGTAGAAATGATTCAGAATCGAAATCCAACCGCTGTTATGCATCATAGGAACGTTTGTTGTAGATCATGTGTTGGCCTTATGTCAATTATCTACAGTATGTCAACAACGGGTTAACATATTATAACTGGCATTTCACACTAAATTTAAGTACTATATTAAAATATATGTATAGGAATTAAATATTAAAGAATTGGTTTCACATCGGAGCAATTTCGCTGCAGCACTGTCAGTCACCAGCAGTCCATGCTGCAGAGTTCGTGCTGCTTAAAACTGTAATTATC